TGTTGTAGTTGTACAGCTCTGTAAGTACAGTAAAAACTACTTATTTCTACTCCTTAAAACCATAAATTTATGGTATGTTCAACCTGTTTCTAAAAAAGAAAAGGAAAATTGATTTTTTAAATAAAAATTAAAAAGATGGAGATTTCTCTTTGAAAATTCTGCTAAATATGTAAGAAGGGAAAAAGAGTTAAATGCAATTTGATAGGTCCATGTAATGAAAGAGTATAATTAAGAACTACCCAAGGTTTGTCTATGAGTGGAGGCTATATCCCTAGAAGTGCAGGAGGTGAGAGAGCCTAGTCAATGGACAATAAATATTAGTTGTCTGAAAGGAGAAAGGAAGTATATTTCTACAAGGAAGAGCTAGTACCCTGAAAGACAGATAAGGTTGGACCAATGGATCTGGAGATGGTCAGGGAACCCAAAAAAAGGTTTGGGGTTAGCTGAGAAGATCAGTTATAGCAGTGGTAATCCATAAGGCTATTGGCTCTTAAAGTGGGTATTTACTGTGAGAATGAAGTTAACAGAGAAGGGACAACAAACATTGTTATAATCCTTGTTGTTAGAACTTAGCATGTGGATCTTAATTCTAACACAGTAGTGCCAAGTTTTTTATTTTATTTTTTATTGTTTTTGTTTTTGTTTCTTTTCTTTTTTTTTAATTACAAAAAGTCATAGAGTTTAATGAGAAAAAGTCACTGGGGTGTTGGAACACAATTATCCTCAAATGTTGTTGAGTGTGGGGAAAAAGAAAAAGTCCCACTTTCCCTGCCAAACAGAGAAATGTGTGGTTATTGTTTCATGTAAGACAGCCAGCACCTGTCAAGTGTCTGCTGCACTCTGTGCTGATGAAATGGGTAATGAATCAAGGAACAGGGTAAGGACAAAGGAGACTTGAGACTCCTCCTCCTGGTGCAGTCATTTGTTACATGGTAAGAAAAAGTGTCATCCAAATTCTCAAGACCATTCTAGATACCAGTTTCACTCTTTGCTTCTTCTTCTTCTTCTTCTTTTTTTTTTTTTCACTTGTCTTCTTTTTCTCTCAACAACACTGATTTCTCAGGACCTTTGTTCATGTTTCAAGTTCTATCACTGTAGTGAAACAGCTTTCACTATAGTCACCAATGATTCTTAAAGAATAATTTCCTAAAATTTTTCTTGCTTGATACTTTTACAAAATTAAACAATGGTGTTCACGGTTTCACTATCCATATACTCCCTACCCTGACCCTTCTGTATGTCTTTCTGCATCTCTTTCCTTTAAATGGTTATCCTCTCCTTTCTGGCCATTGAATGATTCTGTATTTGGTCTCATGACAATTCTTTGCACTTTTTTTTTAGATGTCTCTTTCCCTAGACACCTTCTTAATGTGGTAATTGAAAATGTGAAAATCAGACTAGTCCTCTGAATACACACAATTAATACATACACATAAGCACACACTGTTTTGAAATCAGATGATATCAGTTCTCCAACTTCGTTCTTTTAACAAAAATGTTTTGTATTACAGGTCCTTTACATTTTACACACAAAAAAACTTAAAAACTGTGTTTCAATTGCTACAAAAATACAAAAGAGTTTGTGGTTTTGAATGGAATTTTTGCATTAAATGTATGGATCAATTTTTGAAAAATTAGCATATTAACAATACTAAATCTTCTAGAACATGAATATCTTCATTAATTAGGTCTTCAAACCACATTTAATAGTTTTCAGGGCACATATTTTGTCTGAATTTTATGTATGAATGAAACGTCTATATTGTAATTTAATTTTCCATTTGTTTATTACCAGTATAGAGATATAACAATTGATTTTGTGTTCTTCATCTTGCTAAATTCATTTATTAGTTCTGGCATGATTGTGTCCAGATTTTCTTTGTAAGCAATGATTTCTTCTCAATAGAATCAATATGTTTGCCTCTTATTTATTTTTCTTGTCTTCTTATACTGGTCGAAAACTCTTATACAATGTTGATTGGAAATAGTATAGGAAAACTTCATTACTCCCAGATTTATAAAAATGTACTTATCTTTCATCATTTAGTAGGGTGATAAAAGATTGAGAAAGTTTCCTTTTATTGGTTACTGAGAGTTTTTTAAATCATGAATGGGAAATTTTCAAATTCCCATGTTGAATTTTTCAAGTGCTTTTATCTATTGAATTTATCATTTCTATACCATTAATATGATAAATTTTATTAACTGATATTTCAAAGTAAAGTCAAAACTACTGATGGAAACATTCCAAGTGAGCGAACTGAATCATCGTATTTACACATTGCTGATTTGATTTGAAAATGTTTTTAAGGATCTTTTTTTTCTCTATTCATGAGGGATATTTGATTAGTAGTTTTCCTCTATTATCATTTCTTTGATTATCAAGGTAAATGCAACCTCATAAAATGTTCTGCACAGTATTATCTTGTCTATGAATTTTGTAAGGAATCCCAAAACATATATGTTATTTATTTTTTCTTGTTGCATAGGATTAATCAATGAATCTATATAGACTTGCAGATTTTTTTCAGCAAGGTTTGTTAAATACTGCACAATCTCAGCTTTGGGTAATCCTTTTTTGGGTACTTTGCCCATTTCATGTAAGTTGGCAAACTTACTGGTTGTTCATAAAAGTCCTTATTCTCTTTTTAATGTCTGTAGCATGTTTTCCCTTTTCATGTAGCTTCATTCTGGTCACAAATACTTTTTCAGACAGTGTAGTTTCCAAAGTCCATCATTTACATGATATTTCAAATTCATAATGGTGGTAATTCCTCTTTTAGGACATAGTTTCTTGTGAAAGATGATTCATAATGTTTAAAATAGTGCTATAAAAGTGTTGTGTCTGTGAATGTGCTCTCCACAGTTAAAGATTATGGAGCCCTGACCAACATGGCAAGGAAAAGACCTTCCCACAAAAGCAGCCTCTCAAGATTAAACTTTCATGTCTTTTGTATCATTATTACTGTTTCCATGTAACTAAACATGTATTCAAAATTTTACTGACTCCCATCCCAAATCACTTTGCACAAGTTTACAAATGAAAAACTTGCATCGCAATAGAAAAACATGAGTTTTGATGATCTGACTGCAAATTCTGGTTTCACACATTAAAGATAGGGACTTTGATATAATCCTTCTCAGTACCTACATGATCAAAACCTATAAAATGAGATTATAATCTGATTTAGTTATGAGTTAAGAATCACTCACAATTATTCATTATTCCTGAAATTCAGTTAATGTCAGTAACTCCTAATTAATTTTATGCCAGTTTTCTCTGGATATTCAATTTCTTTGTTCAGCTTATCAGTGGAGAACAGTTATGTGTCCTCAAAATAAGTTGCAAGATTGAGCATCTTTTCTGTCCTTTGTTTAGGTTATGATCTGAAAAGGGGCATCACTGAATTTTTTTAATGACTGCTGGGACCATAACTGTGCTCCCTGTGGTAGATTCTCTTCATGGGAACTGTTTCGGATGGTTTCTATAATCATCAGATGCAGATTGTTGGTTCTCTCCTTCAGGGAAACACTCAATAATAGAATCACAAAAGTTTAAATGATCTCTCTGAGATCATTTAGAAAATAGTTCAAGACCATTTAGCAGGCACTTTGGGGGCTTTCATGCTAGAGTTCTGGAACTTTCCAGCATCCATTGCTGCTTCATCTCAATTGCTTAAAAAAAAAATGCTTAAAGAGTCACAAAAGAGGAAGGGCTTCTCAGCTCCTATCTTCCCTTAACCACTACATGAGAAGACTGAACTGTACCACCACTGTGTGAAAAGGGTAGTCAACATAACAGGACATACAGAGGGAGGAGGAAAATCATTTATTAGATGTTTCCTATTTAAGTTCAGGTTTTCATTAGCATCATGGACTATTCTTCAAGAGAGAAGATGGTCAAAAGGAGCATCTTTTATTTCTGCTGTGTAGACATCAAAGTAAAATTTTGTTCTCAAATTAAAGATTATCTAACAGACTTTGATCTTGTGGTGTAAAAGCAACAGAATCCATCTAACGTTCATTCTGAGAGACCACAGGGACACATTGGTCTGTCCTGGCGTGCAGCACAGAGATAAAAGCAACAGCTGAATAATCTTAATAGAAGTTAGACAGCCGTATGGTGTGCTTGTTGGCACATTTTCCTCTTACAAAAAATTAGGCATGCTGAATTTTATTGTTTTGCTCACTAAACCCTATCAATCTTCATGAGCTTATAATTAAGAAAATATTATACTTGGCAGGACTCCCTGCTATTATCAAATAACTTTGAAAAGAAATGGAAAAGTACAAGTTGTATAACTGTTGTTTCAAATTCTAGCTATTTGAAATGTTAATGTAAGACCACAAAGGATTCTCATTATTTTTGCATGTGTGCATTTTAAAAGGCTGAACTGAAAAATTGGTTTTAAACAATTCCATTACTAAAAATTGTAAACAACAGAGAATATTTGTCTCCCCCGGCCCCCACCACAAAGATTTGCTTTGTCCAAATCTGCGAAACACAAAACCTTAACAAAAAGCAGTTGATTCTTAAGTCCTCTCTCTTCTTCTGACAGCAGATGGCAGTATTGATGCATGAAAAAAAATCCCTTCACGTTACTTTTTCCTTTACCTGCTAGGGTTTTCTCTGTAAATTTAGTCAAGGGATCTGAATCTAGAATTCCTTGTGGGATGATATGGTTGCCCTTTTCTTAGCATTCTTTCCCCCCACGTTTTGCTTTTCTTTATATGAGAAGATATATTTTCCACTTGCTGTTCTCGGTATGCCTCGACAAAATTATTTTTAATTATTATTATTTTTTCCCACCAACACCCATTTGGCATTCGAGTAAATGAATGCCAAGAACATACTCAACCTAGCAAATGCTCTGGAGAAACAGGTGCTCAAACTTCCCAGACAGCCAGCGTCTGAGACCCTTTCCTGTGTCTTCTAATGACTTCTCCAAAGTGGAACTTTCCTAAACCAAGTACCAATAAAGGATTCCCTTTCCTTTCAGATTCCTGGAACATCATCTGTAGTTCAGAGAAAATGGAAGCCCCTGCAGCAGGTTTCACAGCCCCGAGGACCAGGGCAGCCTACCAAGTCCCGGATTAGTGCTGTGGCGGCTGAAATCAAGCAGATCCGAGCCAGAAGGAAAACAGCTAGGATGTTGATGGTGGTGCTTTTGGTGTTTGCAATTTGTTATCTGCCGATTAGCATCCTCAATGTACTAAAGAGGTAAAGGACATCAACTATTTGAAAATAAAGTGACTTGACATTTTAATTAAGAACTTTTGTTGTTGTTGTTGGCAAAACCCAAAATCTCCACTTTCTGCCTTGATAGCTTGTCAGGCCAGATAACTCAGTTATGCTGTTGTTACCAGCAGGTAAGGTGAATATCCTTTGAGAGTACATTGACATGTGCTCTTGTTCATGCAGATTCTCAGTTGAATGGCAGACATAAAACAGACCTTTCCTCTAACCTCCTCAAGCTAATTGCTAAGCCTAAGATGCAGAAAAAGTTCTAATGCCAACAAAACAAAACAAAACCAAAAAAAAAAAAAAAAAAAACCTCATTTACAGCTTAAGAGTTCTTTTTTGATGGGAACAAATGGGTTTTGCAAAACTTTGTTCTCAAAGAGTAGCCAATCATGAAAAAATTCTCTCCAAAGGATAAAAAGAGATAAGCTTTTGTTTGAAGCACTAAACAACAACAAAAAAGTAATCAAAACAGATATTATGTGCTGAATGTCTAACCTTAGAAGAGAAAATCCCTTTAAATTACTGAAATAATCTCAAATTGAAGATTAATAAAAATTAGCACAACATTTTTCAATGGGGGAAAGTATAGAATTTGTTATGCTGCAGACATGACTACTATTAAGTTCAGATAATGGGTCAATATGACAGTAAAAGTGGTTGCAAAGGCAGTGGTCTACTCTGAACTTCAGGACCAGTCAACTTTATTGGGAATTAGCAAAAATATTGCAAATAGACAGGTCCCAAGGCTATACTAATTCTGTTTATAATAGACTTCAAACTTAACCTTGAATTGCTGCTTTTCTTTCCTGCTTCAGAGTCAATATCATATTCCTCACAGCTGGGGACTCTGGAGAGCAGCAGCTTTGGCTGGAAACTGACTAAAGATGGTAGAACCAGCTCCAAAAATTTCTCATTCTCTTTGGCCCTTGTTTTTGATTGCCTAATTGATTTTTCAATAGAGAAAAAAAATTGGAAAATAAACTTTTGTTCAATAATATTATTTACTGCCATCCCAACCTTAAAGGTATAAGATTTTGAGTGGCTTTTCCTTGAGCCATATGCTAGATAATGAAAATTGTTTTGCCTTCATATCTTTCCATAATCACCCCTTCTTATTTTTCTTGCTCAGAGAAATCCCATACAAATTTATTCTGAACTTTTGCTAGATGTTGTGTTCTGTTCTTAAGAATGTTATAAGAAAATATGCTATGTTCATGGGTGGGTTTCTTACTCTCTATCTCTCTCTCCTTTATTACCCAGTCAAAATTCAACAAAAAGTGGATTTACTGCTCTCTTGGTTGTTCATTTGAATTTCCTATATCTCAGCACTTGTACCTTTTCCTTTCATTATTTCCAAATACTTACTTGTCAGTAATATTTATCTTATACTTCTGAGTTAAATATCATCCTATCCAAGGAAAACAAATAGCTTTCTAAGGAAAAAGTCCAAGTTCAATTTAAAATATTTTCAAGCTTTTGAGTGTTTTCTTTCCCACAAAGTTAAAATGTTTTAAAAAGAATCTTGAAAATCGTTCTTCTCTTTACCACATACATTTTCTTAAAATACTTAGCTCTAGGTTTGCCCTGAATATTAAATGCTTTTTTCTTTCTCTCTCACATACAAAAATATCCTAGCTTCTTTTCCTTGAAACTTAACTTTTTGCCTGATCAGTCAAATCCAACAAATAAGAAGTATTACTTAAAAGAAGTGCTTTTTAAATCACAATAGTATGTGAATATCAACAAAACATTGTACAATTGTATTTAGAAACAAAATGAAATAAGAAGGATATATATTCGATTTCTGTATTTTTTTTTTTTTTTACCATAAAACATTGCATTTGCCGCCCCTCTGATTTTACTCAGTTTTTGACTTACTGATTGAACCATGGTGTGTCTGTTCAGGTACTGAAGCTATTCTAAAGGGACTCTGCTGTCATGAAATTATCAGTGATAGATACCTGCTCAGAGGACTAGGGGTTAGGCCTACCAAGGGCCCTGCTCACCTTTGAATTGATTATTTAAAATGTGCCTCCCAGAATCACTCTGGATTTTCTGTTTTTGTTTCTTTTCCTACAGAGTATTTGGAATGTTTGCCCACACTGAAGACAGAGAGACTGTATATGCTTGGTTTACATTTTCCCACTGGCTTGTATATGCCAATAGTGCTGCAAACCCCATTATTTACAATTTTCTCAGTGGTAAGTTTTCAACTATTTTTTCTATAATCCATAATTCTAAAAGAGGCTGAGGGATCGATAACCAAAAGTTTGGAACAATCTTGAAGTATGTGAAGAGCTTTGTTGCTACTTGAAACAAATTTTCCTCTGACCTGATTTGCTTGAGTGTCTTCTGAGAAGAAACACATTACCTCACTCGTCAGAGAAAATTATCTAAGTGGTTTTTTTTGTTGTTGTTTTGTTTTGTTTTCTGGTAAATTTAGAAAAAGTGTTGAAATAGGAAGAAAGTGAAATTTGTAAGAAATGAATAACATAGAATCTTGTGTGTCCTATTTTAAACTTAATGATTCACAATTATATAAAATAATTTTTATCTGTTTATTGTTCCTTTTCCAAATTGTGTGGTCTCACTGACCACAAAAACTATTGTTAATAAATTATACATAAGGTAAGCAACATGTACATACACACATCTATAAATTATTCACTCTACCTAAGTCTATGGAAAAAATATGATTTTAAATAACTATTGTTTTCTTTCTATTTTACCTGCCTGACTTTTATAATTGCATTTTCATTGACTACATCTTTGATTGTCTTCTTCTCTAACCTATTAGCTTAATATATGATATTTTTATATGTAAAAATAACAATTCATTTTATTGCCAAGTCAAAGTTCTGGTATGGGTTTAAGAATGAGTTAGGGAAAACAGCCAATAATTGCTGAAACTTGGGGTATCCTGATGCTTTAACATTCATATTCTCATGTAAATACTTGGTAACCCAGCAAAGTTAACTGAGGCACAAAGAAAACAAGTGATGATTTCCAGCACTGTCATTAGCTCTAATAAAGGTGATTGTTTCATTTCACAACTTTCTAGTTGTCCATCAATAATTTTGATCCAGACTTCTAAAGATTTCCCCCCTTCTGTATTTTCTTCTGATATAAGCTATAATGCTTATAAATGGTTTAATATATTTTTCTAGATATTTTGTTGAACTTTTGTGTGCCATTAGTATCTTTTTTAGAATGAAATTGAGGGAGTCATTTCTGTACAATTTGGGCAATGCATAACATGGCTTTCATTATTTTTGAATAAAAATAATGTATCTCTGAGCATGCCTCTATAGATGATCATTTTTATTGTAATGATATAGTTAAATACAATTAAATTCATAAATACATGGGGTATGATCTAAAAGGAATGAAACAAACAATGAGCATCACATAGAAGAAGTCTCATTGTTACAAGAATCTACCAATAACATTAATTTCCTTTTCCCATTTTTTCCATCTTTGTAAAACATTGCACCTCATTGGTAGTTTGGCTCAGGGGAGTTCCTCAGTTGTACCTTAAGCAGTATTTGTTGAAACGTTTATGCATAATTCCTTTCTCTTTCATTCTCCCAGGAAAATTTCGGGAGGAATTTAAAGCTGCATTTTCTTGCTGTTGCCTTGGAGCTCACCATCGCCAGGAGGATCGTCTCACCCGGGGAAGGACAAGCACAGAGAGCAGGAAGTCTCTGACCACCCAGATCAGCAACTTTGATAATGTTTCAAAACTCTCAGAGCAAGTTGTGCTCACCAGCATAAGCACACTCCCAGCAGCCAACGGGGCAGGACCACTGCAAAACTGGTAGAATATTTATTCATATGACGAGGATACCTGAGTCAAACTATTCTTTTTAAAAATATCTGTAAAAGAAATTTTATTACCCTAATGATCTGAAGCTAAAATTATTCATTGATTTTTTTTAAAATAACTTATTGCTCTTTGAAAATAAAAAAAAAGTGAGTTTAAACTAATCTCAACTTTTGACTTGAACATGTTAGAAGTTTAACATTACTGAACTTATTTCAGGCTATTTGACTTTTAGCTTCATGTATTTAAACGTGTGTCAATTAAATGTTTGAACATTTCTAATCCTTTTTATAATCCCTTGTTATTTTAATCTCACACATTCAAATTGGCTGTTAAAAATCACCAAGTATTATTCAGTGATTTTCTTTTGGTTACTAAAAGAGATAGCAATTACTAACTCTTGATTAACAACTGCCATATATTAACAACTTCACATTTAAAAAAAAAAAACTCACAAAATACTATCAATACAATGTGACATCTGAAAGAATATATATAAAATAAAATATTACATTAGAAAATTTATAAACTACCTTTCAAAACCACATAAAATAAGGACTATTCAACTTTATTTTCCACTAGTTTACCACTCATTGATGGCAATTTTCTCAGGTTTATAACCTTACTGTTGCAAATATTTCTTCCCCAACATATGACCAGTAAGACAGTATATTAAAATTTTAAAATTGTAGTAACTCCTAATATGTAATAATTTCTGTCTCTTAGGAAAAACTTTAACATTTAAAAATAAGATAAAATCAAGGTCACAGGGAATAAGGAAGAGGTGAGTGCCTTCAAGAGAGCTGTAATCTAGGCAGGGAGACATGTTGAAGAGCACAAGAGGACACACAACTCAAGGGATGCTACCTGATGTGGCAGTGCTGTGCCACAACTAAGGAGGATGGTCCTCACCAGAAAATGGACCATACATTTAATTACACTCTCTATGCCAGTGATTTCCACTGGGCTTGTGCTGAGATTCAGGTGGTTAGGAGGAAAGAGAGCCTTGCTGTCAACTCACACATGAACTAAAGGAGTAGAGCATGTGTAGCATAAACAATAGATCTGCAACTCAAAGCACTGAGTACTTTAGATTTGTTCTTCTTCAAAAATCTTCTGATTCAAATATTCACCTTGAAATTACATTAAAAGTAGAAGAAGGGTTCATGAAAACAATGCTCTTCATCTCATAGTATATCAGCAAGTCTTCTGATTGTATTAAAACAAGATAGGGACACAATATTTGAGAAAGATTTGGACAGAATATTTTTAGAAGATAATTAATATTTTATTATCTCTTTCTTTTTTGCCCTACTCATCATTTTCAGAGAAAAGTAATGCATCCAGATTTATTTTATAAACTTTTGAATTTAGGATTCTGTTACCTTGTGCCTTTTCCTACTCAAAGCAAAAACAACCCTTTTATACAGGTTTATGGAACTACATTGCTAAATATCTCCACTATTATCAGTGCAAATAGTGTATTTTGTACATGTGATAATTTTTTGTCTTATGTGTGTTGCATGAAAGGAGAGTTGTAATTTTCAGATTGGGATAAAAGTTAGCACTTTAAATAGTTTGAGAAAAAATCTCAGATATTTTGGTAACATGCCTTAATAGACAAGTAAAGCTCAGAATAAGAGTGAATATTTTAAAAACTATTAAACCTAGTTCTTACCATTTAAAGGAGAGAGAGAGATTTAAGAGTGAATGAGGGGGAGAGAGAGAGAGAGAGAGAGAGAGAGAGAAGAAAACTCAGAGAGGTGGCATTTGTATAACTGATCTGAAATCAGAATTTCTTTGCTCTAAATCAGTGATTCTCAAAGTGTGGTTCCTGAATCAGCATCAGCATCTCCGGGGAACTTACTAAACATGCAAAACCAAAACCTACTGAACCAGAAACCTTGGGGTGGTACCCAGGAATCTATGTGTTAACAAGACCTACAGGTGATTTTCAAGCACCTTAAGATTTGAGAAACACTGCTAAAAATGATACCATTTGGCATCAATTTATTAGCCCATGTGAAATAAAGTCTCTTACTGCACAGGTATCTACAACAGGGACCACCGTCATCACTACTGTCAACCTGGTTGGAGGTCTGAAAGAAGAGGCTGAGTGTCAATGCTGAACCTCACAAGTGTCATCTCACTCAAAGAGATAATGGCTTATAAAACAAGTGCCACTGTGTTATAAGTGCAGTGTGAAAGAAGACCCGTGTCCAGGCACTCATATGCTTATAGTAACCTGAATGACTTGTGTTTTTAACTAAGACTTTCAAATTCTCAGTTTTATTTATTAAAATTTAAGTTTTGTGAAAGCAGATTGTTTTTAAGAATGATCCTTGCCTGGAAGGAAAATCATAAAATAAAGCCAGTACTTAAACTCTGGGAAAGGAAATAATGGACCATGTATGTATCTCTCAACATGTGGACCCTGGAACTTCCTAAGAGAGCTGGACTTGTATGGGTACCTTAATAGGACAAATGGTAAAGACACAAGTTTGTAAGCCCTATGAATGTGATGGAATAAAGGGTCAACTACTTACCTCATTATGTGCTAATGACACAAATGAGAAGATTTGTTATGAAGATTGTGTTGGGCCATTTTATGCTATACAATTGAATATGTATCTCTGTTTTTTGTTACATCTTAAAAACTTAATGTAGTAAGATGTCATTGTCACTGAAATTTTATTTTCAATAGGGATAATAATTTTACCTAATATATATTATGTTTGAGCTTTATTATTTCTGAATTACTACAAAACCAGGAAAATCCAGATATTTGAGTCATTCATTCTTGACAATAGATTATAGCAAGTTTGTGAGAAAAATTACTTTCAAATTTCACAAAACATGAAGAATTTCTGGATACTAAATACCTGTCACAAATTGTTGGTAAGTTCATTGCTGTGTTCACCACAATGATATCAAGTTTCACTCCCAGTGTACATTGTTGTAAAGATGATCAAGAAAATCCACATAAAATGTACTCTGAATATGCTTAAATCTGAAACTTCAGAATGGCAAAAACCCCAAAGTTGTTTGATCCAAATTACAAGGAGGGCTATTAGTATTTTGATACTAGTGTAATAATACCATGTTTTGCATTTGGTGTATATCATAATAATAGTAAATTGCTTTTCAAAAATATCTGGCTAGTTGTTACAATTTAGAAAGCTTTTTATGAAAGTTAATTTCACAACTGATGACTTTTCTACTTCCTACAAGTCACAAGTCACAACTCAAAAAAATAATAATAATTCCAGTAGCTTATGTTCAAATGGTTCTCAAGTTGCATGAAGCAAAATAATAGTGTTTTTTAGAGCCATTATATAAACAGGAGAAATATTGCTAATTTGTCAATTTTATTACTTTATTTACCACAGAAAATGAAGTACAAAGGCATGAAAAATACTTACTCAAAGTTCAAAGGGACTTGTCTTCTAGATAACTACTGCTACTAATAGGGGGCAAAAGATGCCCCCTGATTCGCCACGTATTCTTATTCTTTAAATTTTCTTTATAAATTTTGAAGTTTTCCATGAAATGTGTTTCTCTAGTTATGGTGTTCCATGTGTGTAACATCATGTCAATTGTTCAACAATTATACTTTTAAAAGTTATTTATGCCTGAGTGTACTATCTTCATAGGAAATTTCTTATCAAACCCAAGGTGATTACACATCCGCTGCTGTGAAGAGTACTCATGATGCAGTTTTTAAGTAAAAAAAAAATCATATTGAGAATTCTATAATCACATCATACTGCCCTCTCTATTGTAAGAAAAATTTTGTTGTTGTTGATTAGATAAATTGAATATTCACTCATAATTAGTGTCAAATCTTTGCAGTTAAGGATCAGATTAAGCCCTCTGGTGCAGTACTTAATGACCAAAATATTTTTCCCAATAAGTTTATATAACCAGGGATAATCATGTTATAAAAGATCTTTAATATTGTTTCTAAGAGCCGTATTACAATAAAGGTTAAGATTAATACAGAAATATTTCTTAAAAGTTATATAAAGTTATGTACATAAAGCATTAAATGTTGGAGCTTTCGTTCTGAGTCAGAGGTTCAATGTACTTTTGACTTAGAGAAAACAACCTCATGATTTTCAATTTATTATCATATTATGTAAAGCATCTATTTACATAACTAATTGTTCTAAGCCATTATGTGTAAGACTGTTTAAACTCAATGGTGAATTCTGAAAATATATATTTTTCTGCTTTAAAAGATTCTGTTAAATTTCAGAATCAAGTGCCAAGGATTTTAATGTTCAAGATCCTTTTTTATTCAGCACTTTTAATTTTAACCTTTATCAAAGATAAAGTAGTCAGGCAAGATAAATACTTGACTCCTAGGGATATGTGATTAGAGTCTAGGGGTATTCCTCAGGAGTACATGAACTTTTTATAGTGAAAGATAATCTATTTCAGTGGTGAGAATGTTTTGCTCTGAGCAATCTATGATCACTGAGTAGGTACTAATCACCTCCCCCTTGAACTAACCCTGAAGAGGGATCAGAGCATCTGCACCTTGATCCAGGCCAATGCCATGAAGGAGAAGTGGGTAACAGAAGGAGTTTCTTGGAGCACCTCTTTGGTCCCATCTTCCTTTCACTGCTTTCTCACTCATTGCCCATAGGGCTGATCCCCAACCTCAGCACTGACAGATCTCTTAGGAGTTTCTCTTGCCTTACAGAGCTCCTGGACCTTCCTTCAGTTCAGCACCATCCAATGACCTCAGGCTCTTTCTCCTTTTTTTCAAATATTCCTTAGTTGTCAATTGACATTTATTTTATGGGTTTATATGTGGTGCTGAGGATCAAACACATGCCAAGCAAGTGCTCTGCAGCCCAACCCTAGGCTCTATTTCTTAAGAACAATTGGCCAGTAGTAAATTTGGAGAAAAAAATGAAGCAGAATTCAAGGAAAAGGGAAAAAATGTGCTTTACAACAAAAACCTTATCAATTTTACATTTTTTAAAAGGTCAGTTATTTCCTTTCCAGAATATCAGTGATTGCCAGAATAATGTTCACCATGGACTTCTGGATGTATCAGCTCCTTTTCCAAGGCCTAGCTAAGCTTGCTGTCTCAAACTGGAAAGGATCCAAGTTTTGAGATCCAAAGCCAAGGTAGATCAGTGGGTATATGTGCTCATGGAGTAGCCTATGGCACCTTCAGAAGCAAAACATCGATTGCATTACCTTTTGTAGGTCAAACCCCCAAAAGGTAATACAGATAATAATAATAAATACAGATAATAATTTTTTAAATGTTGTTTTTACATAATAAATTCAAAATGAATTTCAAATTGCTTAAGGCAATATGTTAATTACTAGGGAAGTGTGAAATAACCAAAATGTTTGTGGAACTGGGAAAACCCTGATAGTGTCTGGTAACCTGGAGCTCCATTTCCTACTAATGTGACACAGAGGATATCTTCAGAAATGGATAATGTTCCCTTTCACAGGACATGGATTTAAAAGATGTAAGTGGAGAACTTTTATCTAATAAGCTGTGTCCAGGTCATACACAATATCCATTATGGAATTGGAAAAAAATAACCCACTCATATTAGAGCCTTACTAACACACATATTCAAGCACTGTAAAATGTTTGCAAATGCAAATCTGTGTGTGTGTGTGTGTGTGTGTGTGTGTGTGTGTGTGTGTGGTTCAACACAGGTAGTTGGTCTGCAAATATATCACAATGTATCTTAATTTCATATGAGTCTTTTAACGATTTCTCTTTTATCTAGTTCACTCTCTTTAATCTGGTAACTAGTTCTCCTCACCCTGTTACAAATATCCAGGTTTCATATCTTTACTGTTCTAGAAAGATTTTCCAACAGATTTTTTTCTCTGTATTGATTTTTGTGACGTTTACTTTTACTGGCTTTCATATGGTTATAGAAATTAGAACAAATGAAAAGGAGAGGTCCATGAATAGTCCATCTACTCTAACATTACATGCCAATAGTACTTTCGAATCAAATGTCCTTAATTACAAGGTCCATTCTGAAATTCCTTCCCTACCCAGAGAAAAGCAAGACCATGAATGGTACTGCACTAATTTGTAGACATTGTGTACTGAAGACATATTCTTACTTTTTTTTCCTAATGAAAATCATGCCAGTTTTATACAATGCAGACACCACTCTTCTATAGCACTGAAAATAAAAGGTCCAAGCCAGGCACAAAGTCCTTGGGAAGTTAGGTGGGCCTCAGGATTACCAGCCTCTCTCCTGTGGTACAGATTCCTAACACTCCAGGAAGGAAGACTGCCAGGGCTTCAATTATATCACTTTCTTCACCCCATCTCTCGTGTCATGAGCACACACTATTTTTTCTCCTAATTTAGAAGCAATTCTGAAAATAATTTTTATTATTTATAAATGCTCTTTAAGACCACACAAATCTGCAAAACTTGATCTTGCAAAGCCTCTACAACCCTTACTTCTTATTCCCCAGTCTTTGCTTTTAACTAGGTGTGTTTGGAGGCAAGAATAGGTTCATCTCATTTTTCTTTAGTATTTATTAATAATTTTCTCATTTATTCATCTTTTTATATAGCAAATTATCCATTTGAAATGTATCTGCAGTAGGTACTCTTTTACTATGTAAATCCTGTAATTCTATTCCTTTTATCCAGAGCTGTTATAAATGTAGAATTTACCTCATTCTACACTGGCGTGTTGAAAAGGTGGCAGAACTCCTCCTCATTTAATTATTAAACTAGGTATATTGTATTTTGTTCTCCTCTGGAAGAAACTTTCTACAGATTGGTAAGAATTGACCAAATTAATTAAAATATTTGTATTACAAAACTACCTTTCTCCTGACAACGTATGTATTCTTTCCTGAATCTAGAGTCCACCAATTCTAAAAATTCCACTTTCCTCACCTGAAAATCCACTCTAGGCCTTTAGGATGTATCATCACAAATAAGTTTGTTTGGTTTTACCAACAGATTCTGAAGAATGGGCTTCAAATGCTACCCCAAGGTTGTTATAGTCACATTTCTAAAAGGTGCTAACTGTTCCTTACCTTCTTGCCCCTATATTGTGCTCTTATTATGACGTTTTTTAAACATAACTAGAATACAGTGAGATGGTGGAGTTCAGAAGGCTGAAAAAGGAAATATGTCCCTTGTTTTGTGAACAGAAGTATCTGTTTCAAAAGTTCACAGCACTGTATGTATTCTTGTAAGACAGTCTTTCACGCTTATTGTTCATCAACTGCTTACAAGCAGATTAAAAAGAGCCCTGAATGTAACTTGTTCAAGAAACTGAAACCATCTACCATCTGTTAATTGGTTGAAAAGTGATGGTAAGGCCAGCTACTGATGCTTATACTGGTTCTAAAACTTGATATTTTAAGAGCCATGGTCTGTTAAGATGTTCCTTTAACAAGATTTTCATTGGGATAAAACATTAATGAGTTCTGCCACCTTCTTTAAGTAACTATTTTTGTTGTTGTTGTTGTTTAATTCAATACTTAAATCAGATGAATTTAGGATGACTAAATTACAGAGCACAGAATGATAGTTAAGTATTTTATATACATATAACAGTATCATGTTGTCACCAGGAATATCCAGACTAGATCACTAAAAACAGCTACTACCATCATTACAGAGCTTAATAAAATACATTAAATAAACGTGATTATTTTGCATAGCTATACCCCAATAAGCTCACTAGCCAGGGTTTGTATAATTTAATATCTCCACTCAAGGATTTTGGCCAATGTAAATCCTGGTCACCTATATAGAAGACAATTCATCCAATCACACAATAGCACTGATATTTTTCAGCAGTTCTTAGATGGTAAGTTGTGCTAGTGCCTCATAAAGTTGAACATTCTGTGAGTGATTTAGTGGGAGTGGATTTTGACTATACTTTGTTTCCAAGTTTACATTATTGTGACCAGTCTTCCCTGGCAGGGACTACTAATTTTTTTGCTTCAATATCCCTTGAGATTCTTGTTAAAAATGAAGATTCCCTTGGTTTGGAATGAAATCCAGATTCTGACTCACATGGTACAGAATGGCCTTTAACCACTTATTTATCACCTGGGACTCTAGGGAGGTCCACCATTCACTCATTCATTTTAGAAAGGATTCTGTTGTATCTTGGAGAGAGCATCTCTAGTCTATGGGCCTCTCTGCCCGCTTCTGACTCGAGTTGGCTGTGTTTTGTTGCAGCCATTGTCCTTGTTTGGCTTCTTAATGTTTGAAAATGTCGATATAATCCTGTTTTATAAGAACAAAATTATAAGTCCCTATTCTTTTCTAGCAATATAGCTTAGTTCCAGACTTTTGTCACAATTCACAGATTTTCTCCCAGTTATAGATCTGTAACTAGCAATATTTGATCAAAAAGAATGATAAGAAAAAACAAAACATTTTCTACCCTTACCAGATGGTGTCACTTTGAACTTACTTATAAATAAGCTTCCTTATGATGTTTTTCAGAAACTAACTGGAAGTAATGAAAAGAACCTATAGAATTTACTTTTGCATATCAAAACCAATGACTGGAAACAATATCTTTGGAGAATTTTCTGTGGTAGATCAAGGAATCTTTTTTTTTCTTTTCCCTGTCTTTCCATCTACTTCAAAACCCATTCTTATATTAACCTCAGGAGAAACTGGGTTCTCCTGATACAGTGTGTGGTGTGTGAGTGTATACTTTTACAGGATGTTAGCATTCTAGTCCAAAGATGAGTCCTAAAAGTACATTACTCCATTTACCTAAAATTGTGACTGACCTTGCTCATGGCATTCCAAAGTCCTAAAATGAAAGAGTTTGTAAGGAAAATTTGGGGGGGACTAAGCACCAAGAGTACTTGTACTTTTCTTGTTTTTATCTTAATACCATTGTACAATATTTTGTTGTTTTTTTTTTTTTTTCAAGTTGTGCTCACTTTTCAAATTGCCTGTTGGAAAGATTAGATCTGTAACCTACTCATTCCCACCTTTGCAAATATATACCATGTCCTAGGCAACATTGTATGTGCTAATCTCCATCTAGTCTCA